GTATATATAGAATATATTGTTTTATCATCTGTGATGGACTTGTGACCTGTCCAGGGTGTACCCTGCCCCCCTCACACTGACTGCTGGACATGGACACCAGTGACCCCCATGATCCTGAAAGGAAGAAGTGAGTAGAGATAATGGATGGATAGTTTATGTTTTTAAATAAGCTCTTCCATGGATGTCACCATACTTGATCTACTGTATTTATTCATGTATAATACTAGAAATTTAACCCTAAAAATCATCCATAATATGTGTGTGTGTGTGTGTGTGTTAGGGGGGTAGTATTATACACGGGTTATTGATAATTACATTTTTAATGCTTTTTAGCTCAAAAAATGATAGTCATTTGAATGAATGAATAAATACGGTATTTTCAGTCACTTCAGCTGTTTTCTTCCCCGTTCACCAATTTTGCTTATAAATATTTAATCTATGAACCACCAAGGTAAAAACAATATTGTTTATTTCTTTGATTTCTTTTTTGAGCAGCCTTCATGTTTTTGCAGTCAGTAGTTTTAGGAGAAAAGAAAACATTAACCACCTTAACCCTTAAGATTTTATCTTTAAGTTCACTGAAGGATGAATCCCAGCTTCTGGTGATTTGTCCTGTATATTTATGGCTGACCAGCATGTCTCACACAGAAACTTAGTAAAATGTCCTATTTAGGAACTGAAGAGCCGTCATTAAAAAAAAGACGAGCAGTAATAACAAAAGCAGTAGATAAAATAATTTTTGTTTCAAGTGGAGTTTATGGTCAGAAGAGCTAGTTGTGCTGGAAAACCAGCACTGGCTGTGCACGCGAGACGCTATAAATACAGAGTAAAAATGAGCTGTTCAAGGAGCTGAACGGGAGTGGGAGGCAGTGGAACAAATATAAAAAGGAATAATTGCTGATGCAACGCTGACAAATATTCATCCGTGTAATCCAATTCACAGCGATGCAGCTCCATGTGAATCAGTTCCAAAGACACCCCCCACCCCCCCACACAAAAAAAAAAACAACTTTATGTCTTCACCAATGATTCCTTTGCAAACGAATATAAGGCTAAATTTGTATTTTTATATTGGCTGATCAACAAGTTCTTGTAAGTTTAACAATCTAGACATTGTCATCTCTGAACATACTGTATAAGAAAATGTACTGATCATTAAATTAAAGGCTCCTAAATATTCATAAGATTTAGAAATACACAAATGTCTTACAGTATGTGATGTCTGTCTTTCATTTCAGACCAAAAACCTACTAATTTATCTACAGTAAGCAGTTTCATCAGCTTGTATTGTATGAAGGCTGAACGGAAACACTAGTAAAACTTTACAAGATTCTAACTAAATATCACTTAAAGTTTTTAATTACACAAATATTAGACGAGCTGCTGTTGTCCATGTTGCAATTTTTTATTTAGAAGCAAATCTTTGTTTCTTTTGAACATCACATTTAACTGTACATTAAAGAGTACATCAAAGTTTTATAATCAAAATTTACAGAATGCATTTTGATGATCTTTAATCAGTGAAAAAAAGGTTTGAAAATCAGCATAGTTACTATTACTGTATCAATACATATTTTCCACAAAAAGCAGCTATAATGTTTGGTGGAGACCACATTAAATCCCATTATTCCAACATGTACAATCACAAAAAGGCTGTTTTGACYGATTTTTTTTACAACATTGACACACAAATGAAATACAAAGCAGCTAAAATGGATAAAACTGTGATCTTGTACATCATAACCTTTTCCTAATACAAACCTATAAAAGTTAAATGAGGCTGTGAAGATGAATCTAATTACGGTGTTCAGATAAACTCTCAGCTATGCACTCTACTTCAGCCTCACTCGTTGCTTTAGCTTCATCAGTGACACAAAAATGTGTAAAGCTAAATATTTAAATGTCAGGTAATCGCTTTAAARAAATAAAATGATAGCTGCGCGTAAACTTAGAGAGAGAAAAAAACGAGGTCCCATTTTCTTTTCTGTAAACCACCCACGAGCTTACTCCTTCTAAATATCCGAACTAGGAGCCAAGGCYTCGGAGCTGAGCCGTCTGTTCTCCATCCCACCGTACAACTGACGCACAGGAACACAGAGACCGAGCGCTGAACACTTTTCATCCAGTCCAACCCAAATTCCTAATAGAATAATACTGACTGAACAGACAATTTTACAGCTTTGTGTGTGTGTGTTTGTGTTGGAGGAGATCACTGCACCACACACATGGAGCTGCGAGGGTGGTTGACTGTCCTGGCCACGGTGTCCTGACTGTAGTTGACGATGTCCGCCTTCACCACACGCTGCGAAGGTGAAACACATGTGGAGTTTWAAAAAAAAAAGCTGCAGCTTCTTGTTTTAAGGATATTCAAATCCTGAGGTAATATTCTTTAAATCAGCCATTCTCCATCAGTGAAATAAGGCCCGACACTGCATCACGTCTGTTCTGTTAAGATGAAGCTAAAAAGAGGGTAAACACAGCTCTCTCCCAATGACATGGACTCTAAAAACACTCATTAATTGACATGTCGTGTTCTTTTTTTTTTTTCGTTTCTTTTTTTACATAAGCACAAAAACTGAAGCTTCTTATTTAGAAAATCTGAGGATTGTATGCAGTGTGCTGTTGGTCTGAGTGTAAGCATGTATCTCAAACTGCTGAGCTGTTACATTAATATTTCTTGAAAGGTGGTTGGAAAGACTTGCCAGGATTTAAAACTGGTCTAAATGAAAGTTTGAAGGCAGCTGGGAGATTAACAGGAGTCAAGACTATTACCATAAAGAAAAGTTTAGCAAAAATATTGTTAAATCTTTATTAACACAAGGACAAACAATTTGATTGGATTATACAGTATTAGTGTGCTTTTTCTAAAGCTGAACTACTGTGTCAAAATAATTATCACAGTTTCAGTATTTACTATATCTACAAAACTACTGTTTTTGAATCTAGCAGGTCTACGTTCTAGCAGCAGAAACATACTTTCAGCTACTGAACCAAACATATTTTGCTTTGCTGAGAGTTGTCTTGACTAACTGGGCCTTCATTCTGTGGGTAGTCCACCAGCTCAGCTTTCACAATCTTCTGAGTGTCGGACACACGGGAGAAAGAAAAGAAAAAAAAAAAACAGAAAGAGAACAAAGGCATGAAAGAGCACAGAAACAATGTGAAGAATGGGACACCAGGTAAAGACAGTGGATCAGAAAGGATGCAGAATAAAACAATATTAAAACACAAATTCATTTTAAAAAACAAAAAAATGTTGGAAAAAGAATTAACAAAATAAACAAAAAAACATGACTTTTTTTACCTCTTTCAACAGCTGTTTTGTGTTGAATTCGTAAAATCTAATAAATTCGGATTAATGCTGCAGCACCTAATTTAAGATTACTAGCCTATCGGTATATTTGATGGAACTTTTACACTGTGAAGTTCCTTATTTTGCGTGACCAGTATGGTAAAGCCTCCGTGGCCGGATCTCCTGGCCGGCCGCCTGATAAATGAGCTGCCGAAGTCCTGTGTCGGAGTTACTGAGTGATCCGTGGCCTCACTATCTGATCCTGCAGACAGTGGACCATGACGGAGAGGGCTGGCAGGCAGATTTAATGCTGTCGGGGGTTGTGACCCTCATGTTCAGCTCTCTAAACATGACAACTGATAATGAGGCTTCGYTGGGCCTACAGCTACACCCAGAGCCATGACCTGCTCAAAACCTCAACTCTGAATTCTTTACACAAACTTTAAATGGTCATTTTAAGAAGTTGTGTATTTATTTATTTTTATTATTACATTTAGTGTAGAGTTCTGCCAGAAAAAAAAACATTTAGACTTTTAAGCAAGATGGTGGGGTTTCTTATATACTTGTTTTAGCTAAACTAACAGAATATTGGGGCCAGATTCAAGGATAATTTAAACAAAACTTTAAGGCAACATTCAGAAACCATTCTAGTTTTTTAAAATATCAAAATTTACTCATAAATAATTACCTCCCCCGGCCTAAATTCAGATATTTCTGTAATGCACTGATACTGTATCAACTGTTTTAAAGGTTTTTAGAAACATTACTTGTTGAAATACCACTAACTCAAAAACACTAATTAAGGACACAAACACAGAAAATACAATCGTACATGCTCATCAAGTTGAAGTTTTATTATTTTGTCGCATACCCTCACAGATTTGTTTTTCTATACTGACTAATTTTATGCTACAGTAGCAGGGATGCAACGACAGAAAATTCACGAATCGGTTCGATATTTTAGTGTGACGGTTCAATTTTTTTTCAATACAAAAAAGAAAACTTTCCATGCCCTTCTTAACTTGCAATTTATTGAGATTAATTATTAACATTTGTTTCACCTCAAAAGTCCAGTTTTCAAATGTTGCTGAAACAGTAAGTTTCTCGGTGGATCTGCACTCGACAATGCAGCCTAGGTGGAGTAGTCGAACACAGATCCACTGAGCTTCAACACAGAGCATCTTCAGAAGACAAGTKGATAAAATAAATTTTAAAAATCTGTTTTGTTTGATACATAGTGCGTATTGAACCTAAAGCACTGTATTGAACGGTTTGATACAGATAAGGGCTGCATAATGTTAGGAAAACCTGTGATGTGCGATAACAGTGCTTCATTTTGTGATGGCAATATAACTTGCAATAAATGAACAAATATGTAAATATGTAGTGTTGATGTATTTCTGCACTGACAAAAAACAACAACAACAAAAACTAAATATTTCCATTCCAGCGTAAAATTTTTAAAAATATGAAGAGATCTATCCAATTGGCCAAATTTGTGAAGGGCTCCATCTGATTGGTGAAATACTTCAAGCTTTCTTCAAGTGACAAAGCGCATAAATGCAAACTTTTGAGCCAACCATTTACTGCAGTTTGTGCAGTTTTTTGTGATATGCATACTGCACAATATATCGTAATGACAATAAATTTTTGATATACTGTGCAGCCCTAATACAGATACATGTATTGTTGCACCCCTACACAGTAGGTATATTTCTTATTTATCGTCTGTGTGATGGTGTCAAATACTCTTAACCTTTTTCCTTGAAGTGCAAACTGAATCTAGCCAATTACCTTGTCTGATTTGTCTGGATTAAAGCACTTTACTTAACTGACAGTGATATCAAGGGAGGGCCGGAGAAATAAAGTAGATGGACAGCTCCATTAGCGTAAGGCCGTTTCCAGTTAGTCAGCAGCTCTGTTGGTGACGGGAGTGGAGCTTGAGAATTTTGCCTGTTCTTCCCCCTGTATGCTCTCCCTCCTCTGGAGGTCCTGACCCCTCTGTAGCCCTCAGGCTCATCAACCACTGCCTAGCCAATGTGGCTCCAGCCGCTCATATCAGACCCAGGATTAATGTTTTCGGGGGAGGTGACCTTGTAAATCCTACAGCTGCCACCGATGGGCACCTTGGTCTGACTGGCAAGCTGAGACTGTTTCATCCAAAAACAGTGGAAGATAAACTAAATAAATCAGACAGCTAGCCCTAACCTCCTCACCCTCACAACTGCCTACCTTTAACCTCTTGACTTCAAGCGTTGTGGTCAGTGTGATTCCATTTACAGATGGACAGCATCAGGAGGCAGATGTAAAAAAACTCATGTTTTGTAACCTGCAGTGGTTTAACACACACACTGTGTCCTCGATTAAGTTCAACAGTAATATTTTAAGGTAGAAAAGTCATCAGATGCTTTTAAGAGTAAATAAACTGTTGTATCCCTGTTAGGAAGAAATTAAAAATTTGAAACAAGACTCTTACTTAGGGATGTAACAATTCTGATTCGATTATCAGTTTTAAGTTCAAGATTATTTTCTTGTTCAACAAAATGAATTGCAGCCATTTAATAATAAATCATGTATCAGCATTTTAGTCCTTGTATCAAAATGCAACTGTCTGTTCTCTTAGTAACAGATTATAACTTCAAAATAAATAAAAATGGCATCACAAATCCTTTTGTGACCAAAAGTTATCAAGTTTGAAACCGAATTTGTCTTAAAGACATTTCTTACTGAAGTTGATTAACTAGCTTTTATGAATCAATTCACATTTTAAGCCGTTAAAATAGATTATTGTCCATTCTCAATTAATTGTTACATCCCTGCTCATACTTATGACTTACTTGGGATTGCTCTATCTCTGCTTTGTTTAACTTTATACCAAGAATCTCAGCAGCCACTCTCTGGAAACAAAGATACACCTAGAGAGGGAGAAAAAAAAACCCAGAAACAACACAAACAATTCAAAGTTGTTGTTTTTTTTTGATGCTGCACACATGATTTATTAAATTTGCTAGCACTTACAGAATCCCCCGTCTTGGCTGATACAAACTGACTGATGAGGCCATTCTCCTGGCAGAAGCGCTGGTGTTTGTCTGCCTTTACGGTCCTCATGTGCTCCAGGTCGACTGTGGACAAAACCCAGCGAGACGTGAGAAAACTCACAGAAGATGGATAGAYAGATTTATATGGTAGTTATACAGCACTCTCGCGGGGTTAACTGTTACATATCAGAACATAAACAGAAAAGATAACTGTTTACACTTGAGTTAAGATGGAAGGGAGTCTGCCTAGTGTGCAGACACGGTGCACATAAAGACACATGGAAACACATTTCGATTATGCTGCTATCGAAGCCATCTGCAGAAAAGTCGCTGATTGTTGCGTCTTTTATCTGTGGAACGAGTTTGCGATCGGCTCCACAGCCCAGAGCTTCAAGCTCCAGCTGGTATTAAGGAGGGATGCGACACATTCCTCAGTGTAAGTTTCATACAGTCAGACCCTGAAGCCATGAACCTCTGTTTGACCCGAAAAAGACAAACCAGCCCAGCTGTGGAGAAAAGTTTATGAAACAATACATGAATGACCAAAGACTTGAGGCTATACTCAGAGTGAGAGTGTCGATGGAAAGAACAGCTTGACTTATGAGTGTGCTGGGCCTTTAAGGTGGGTCCAAGAACCTCAGATCTAGGACTATCATCTACACACCTATTTAGAGAGGACACACAATGACAGCATCCTTTTTAGCTTTTGTATAGATGTCCCTGTGCATTTGATTCCTGCGCAATGACACTCTGAGCTTTGCTTCTCTCCTTCTTCACTACGAGGTCATGCTAGGGTCAGTAAAGGAGGTCACCTGGGGGTCTTGAAGCTGAAAGCAATAGCTTCGCTCTTTCTTTCTGGCTTTGTGCAGGAAGGTGGGCACGCCCAGTATCTGGTGCATGCACGTCTGTGTTCACCGGAGGAGGTCAGGCTACTGTAAGGTGTTGCGTTTCTTTCAACCCCTTCCCGGGTTTTTTTGCCTTTGTGTAAGGCTTCATTGAAATGGTGACAGATTTACGCCGTTCTCATGCCCCTCAGAGTGTGTGAGGGAGAGTGGTGGGAATGACGCCCCAAAGGCAGAAAAAAGACAGATGCATTTCGAGAAAGAAACGTAAACACTGCAATAATTCTATATTATTATTAACTCGGTTAAAGTCAAACGTCTTCGTCAAAGTGCTAAACAAATACATTTAGAAAGAAGAATCTTAGACCAACTTGAAAATGACAATCACTCTAACTGACGTTAATACAAACCTTTTTGGGTTACGGCAGACACTTTTATAGTTATTCAGTGTCCGGGGCAGACCGTCCTGTCTGTGCCTGTGCATAAACAGAGCTGTCTCATAGGCGTCAGCAGGTTATTAATTCCAGTCATTAACAGTGGAGGTACCCGCCATGCTACTAGAAGTAAACAGTACTAATCCTTTGGATCCTGCACACTTGGGAAAAGTTATCAATCATGTGTCACAGACAGATTAACCAACATTAACACAAGAGCTCCAGAATGTACATTATCGTTGGGTAAAAAAAAAGGTGTGTAAGTGAGTGCAGTTCTTGAAACCAACCCAACGGTGATCACATCAGAAAGAACTAATTTAATCCTTAAGAAACTCTTTTTTTGTCTCCAACTTAAGCACATTTGTTGAATTTCATGTTTTAAAACCAACYGAGATCCCTCAGTCCAATATTTATTCCAGTGGAAAAATAATCAAGACTACTTTTATGTTTGTAAATGGTGATGTAAATCGGTTATAAACAGCTTTGTAGCTTTTTTGAGTCAAATAATGATAATGGAGTTGGGCTTCTTTTTCCTTAAAATTTTCTTTTAGCTCGTGGCATCTGTCTGTGTAAACCAAATGCTAGACTAATCCCAGAGTTTTAGCATTTTGCTTCATTTTTCTCACTAATGTACCCCATTTCTACTTATCAGGTCAAAGCAATCTCACTCCAATGATCTGGTTTCCCTCTATTTCTGTCAAACTGTACATCAGCTTAACAACCCCTAGGAAGTGACTGCAAACACGATATAAACTGTTTAGGCCTCTGAGCGCATAGAGATAGTAGAGGGGATCATCACTCGTCATGAGCGATCACCTCCCTCTCTCTGGTCACCATCAGTGTTTATTTAAAAGGCCTGCCTGTCGTAGCATTGAATTACTAGACAACAGTTAGAGATTGATATCTGGCGGATGAATTAGGCCTTTACCGTAAATAACGGATTTGTTATTGCGTCGGGCTATTCCACGGGAACACAACCAAATGAGAAGAGAATGCAGATGTTCCGCTCCACGTTGTGTGGGCGTGAGCTAAGTTCCTTCATGGAAATAATCCTATGTAATGGAAAAACAATAAGCTAATGTGTCTACAATGGCTAACAAAGCTGAAATCCTACACAGGATTGTGCAGTTCTCAGTGACACGTACTGACTGTTCGGCTCGGGCTGCTGGGGACCAATTGGAACAGTTTATTCAGTGAGTAACAGACACAAAGTAAGCTTGCCATAACACATTTAATTGCCAGCAGTCTGGGTTTAAACTAAACAGCAGTTGGGGTGTTGCAGAGTGTGAAGATTTAAGGTGGGTTGTATGAATTGTGTGTGTTAGCGATGGTTTTTCGTGTGTGTGTGTGTGTGCAGAAGCTTGGGGTCATATCCCATTAAGTGAAAGTTACAGAGTTGAGCCTAATCAACCCCAAGAGGGAACCTATCGCAGCATTACTTCACACTGTGCCTTTAAAGACTTTCTTCAGCAGTTTCGCCTCAGTTTCTTAAAAAAAACGACAACCGTGAATCTATTTTGAGTGTACACTTAAGGCAAGGATAATCAATTCCACTACAGCTACAACTTTCTGGCCCACTTCTCAAATCAAATGGACCGCTGACTTTAAAAACATGCTTTAGTAATTTCACACCACAGACATTTAATAATAAAGACAGTGAATAAATGTACATCGCCCGTCACCTTTCATCCCAGTTTTTAACAAGTTTGTCTTTTGATGGTCGTTATTTTGTAAATTACATTTTGTAGAAACTCATGTTGAGGATAATTCTCAGCTACTACCACATCAAACTTTAGTTATATTTATTTTTGTGTTTTCTAAGGTCAGTAGACTGTAGCAGCTATCCTGAATCGACTTAACATCAAAAGTTAATGAGTTTTATGTTTTTATCCAAGTATTTGTTTCTGTATTTAAGTATTCCATGAGACATTTTGCTAACAGACATGTGCAAATATAAAGGCAAAACCATTATCTCCCTCAAAAAGGAAATTTACAGATCTTATTTAAAAATACTGTAATATGCTATGAAACCACTGATTTAAGATGTTCAAAACGTTGCTTATTTTATAGTAAAGTTTGGTTTCTGCAGGTCAGATATTCATTTGGTTTTTAGCCTCAGTTGACCTGTTTTTATTTTACAAAATCTTACAGCTGTGCTGCTTTGATTAACCATAAAATGCATATGTTCATTTTCAAAATGTTAATTTCATCATAGAAAGCAAACATCTATTCACACTCACAGTCTGTGCTTCTCATCCAAATATTGAGAAATAAAAATTAATAGATCCACAAACATGTGATTGGATAGACCCACAGACTTTTAAACATCTACTTTCAAATTAAACTGTCTGAAGCTGCTGTTTTGTTTTCAAAGTTTGATTWAAAAAAGCATATCAAATGTATTCTAAGTGGCAGTTTATTTATGCTATAAATTTTCTGACAATATATGGGGAAATGCTTCGCATTTTAAAGTGAGTGAAAAAAACATAAATCATTCTAATGCTACACGTGATTGAATAAGACATTGATTTAACTTTCACAACACAAGCGGCTAATAAAATAAAATAACTAGAGTGGATTTTATGTGAAGCACTTAAATGACTGAGTCACACATGACTGAAAGAGAGCTCTTAAATTTGTGGTTTTTATGTAAATAGCATAATTATCTTAAATCTGTAATATGAGTGAAACAAATACTTCCCTCTAAAAATTAAAGGTTATTTTACAGATTCTTTTCTGTCAATGTTTTAGATATCACTTAATAATATTTTATCTTTTAGATGAATTCAGAAAGGAGGCAATTATACATTTTATTAGATTTAGAAGTGTTGTCATTGTCTTTACTTTGCTGTGTTTGTTCCTTATACTCCTTTTATAATCTCAAGAGCCACCTAACTAGAAAAAAAGTGAATCTGCCTAACATGGTAACAATTTCTTTACATATATTAGACACTATAATTTCATCTAGACCCGTAGCTGAATCACTAGAAAGAATATACAGCATATAGAAGCTTGAGCTGAAGTTGATAATATAATCTTGACTTTTCTGAATGAGTACAGACAGATGAAGTGCTGTTAGTTAGCTGGGTGTTGTCGAGGTGAGCGGGGCCCGTGCAGGAGTCCTCGGGGGGTTCCTGACAGAGACAGAGCACTCTTTGTGCACCGGCGCCCCTGCCCCGGTGGCCTGAAACGGGCCAGCACCGTCGGGGGACTCGCTTTCCACTAGGTCAGAAGTGTTCTGTCGACAGCTCATTGATCACAGCTCATCTCGTCATTCGATCGCTCCTCGTGAAATGATGTGCAGACACGAGCGCGCGTGCAAACGCACACATTCACCTACACACATGCATTCACACTTTAAAGCATAATCAGATACTCCACGGTGGCTGGTTAAACAATGTGGTCTTCCTTGCTGGTCAGGGAATGTGAAACGGAGTGTCCAGCAGTAGCTCTGCAGGCAGGGAGCGGGCTGGAGAGCTGGGCTGTCACTGGTATAGTAAAACATGAGGCCAAGGGCCGCGCAGGCTAGGTTAACAGGCTCCAAGGACTCATGAAAAGTGAACAAAAAGCCCAGTTCTGAGCCGACCGCACAAGAAGCAGTCCGGGTTTCACTGGCCATGTCCTCTGCGCTCTCCCGCTGCTGTTAAACTAAGTGGACTTTTATGGGAGAGCAGTAATACTTGCCTCTGTGTCCCGGCAGTATAACTATAATAATCATACAGAGCACGTGGCAGTATTCAAAATAATATGCATCTCATTATTTTAAGTTTACACTTAATGATAAAGAGTTGCACAATAATGCCAAAAA